ATTTTTTATATTATTTATGTTTATCATATAATATGTTAAAATTTTTTAGTTAAATATTTAATGGTTTACGGTGATATTTAAAAATATGTTAAATAGTTAATAGTTACAGTTTATGTTAAAAGTTTAAATTTAAAATTTATTCGAAAGTTGTATTCGATTGTAGAATAGTAAGTTCTTGAAGATGGCCTATTGGAATTGGGCTGAAAACGTTTGAAATTAAAGTAATAATAAGCTCAGCAAGCGTTTGGTGTTTTGTTTATATGGGATGTGGTCTCAGTCGGTCTGGATTTTCAATGCTTCACTGTGGTTACAATATTCGCAAATCACACCTAAATTCGAAATTTCCAGCAAATAAAAGTCGAAAACACATATCAAACGTTTTCGGCCACTAAATTTATCGGCCTTCCTCAGGATCTATCAACTGGAAAAACCATTCTATAAATAGAACTTCGCTGCCTTTTAAACTTTTTTAAAAGAATGAAAGGTGTATTTAGCAGTTACAACATTAATTATTTGATAGAAATTAATTGATTTGACTTTTTTATAGGATAGATCCATTCTGCAAATAGGCTGTTGGCAAAGACAAGAGATGGAAACTGCTATTTTGACAAAAATTATGTGTGAAAACTAATACAAAAATCCAGAACTTAAACTAAGTACTCAGTGCAACAGGAGACCGATTTATTGTACAACCAAACCAATAAATTTTTGTTTTTCTTTCAACTTCTTCCATTTCATAAGCACGAAGAGTCCCTTTTCCATAAGCCCAACACAATTTTGGTCAGATTGTACCAGAAATGGCCAAGTTACGAGGACGGATCATAAATATTCAGACAAACTTATCCATAAAAACTTCCAACTCAAATTCAAACCCTCCAGCATGGTTGGTTAGTGCCATTAGCATGCTTGTTACAACCGACTACCGATTTATCCCAAGGTTAATTTACAAGAAATATCTAGTTTTATTAAAAATAAATCAATGACAGATGACTTGACTACATTTATTTCCTTTCCTAGATATGCAATGTAGGCTTCTGACAGGACGCATGCACATTTTTCTTAAAGAGCTGCAAGTTTTATGCCTATCAAGTATTGACATACACTGTAACTGCTGGTACTGTAACTGTAACTGTAACTGGTGCTAAAATAATACATACTAATGATACCTAAACTAGTAACATTTAGTTAATTCTCATCTCTTTACAGGTCAAACTTAGTTTGAATAGTCTTTGTCGCAAATATTGGCTTAATTAGGCTCGCATAATGGCATGAAGCAAAATATAAAATAATAAATTACATTGCCAAAGCTCCAGGGAAACACATTAAGACCTCATTGACCATGTTTGCACTACAGATTGAACCACAGAGCTTAAAGAATTAGTGTCAAAAGATACTTAAGATGTTTAATCGTTTTATTAAATCTGTCTCTATATTATATTTATCATTTTTATAAATAAATTGTAAAAAATAAATAAGAGAAAACTACATTATGTTCAATTAGATGCTATCCTTTGTCACAATCAAAATGACCTTGTGCTAATATGAGAATGAACAATGAACATTTTTACTTTCCCAAATAAAATTTAACTTTGTCTACGTCAATATATTAATTTCTTTTCAGCATATATAACATTTCAATATAAAGAATAACTGCACAAACCCGATTTTTCACTGAAGCCGAATGATCTGCTGAGTTATTGGGGTATAATTATAGCACGATAATTCAGCAGATTGCCCGGTTTTAACATTTCAATATAAAATAATTGTATTTTAACGCGAGTAATCTGTTATTTCGGACATAAATCAAAATAAAAATCAAGTTTTGTTTTTAAATTGCAAAATGGAATTCTTACTAGAAAACCGGCAAATGACGTCATGAATCCTTCCTTGATTAGTTCCCAGATGCCTCCGTATTCTTCGGCGTCCACCTTTTGAAAGTTACTCGAATATACATAGACGCAGATGGCATTTACAATGCAGAATCTAATTAAAAAAAAATGCACCAAATTTACATATTTAAGAGTACTGAAATAAACTAACAAATATCACAAATATACTTTTTCTACAATGATTTTGTCTGAGAAAACATTCACTCTTGGCTCGATTTGAACTGCCAAGCCACTCGCAGTGCCATCAAATACTTAACGATCATGTATAATGTAAATATTTGCACTACGAGTAACATTTAAGTCTTGGTCTGGCATGTCACACGCAATTAGTAAATATATGATAAAACCATGAGCGGCTTGGCCCTTATACTATACAAATTATGCTATATAAAATTTACAAGTCAGAAAAACATCAAGAATTTATTATTATACATTCCAATATTACATACCATTTATATATTTCTAAATATCAATTGAACCAGTTGCATCATCATAAATGACAAAACATTCTTCTATACAGCAAAGGAAGAATACAGTCCCCCCCATAACACTGTTGATAATTCTGTTTTATATTAATTCCATGTTGTACGAGTCACTTAGTTTTTACAAATACACAAGCCGTTCACAGCCCGGCACACGTATTTGTAAAATCTAAGTGACTCGTACAACATGGATTTCATATAAAATGAAATTATCAACAGTGTTATAGGGGGTCGACTGTATTTCAATTTGTTAAAGCATAATCAATTATCAATTATCTTTCGTCTAGAAAGTTCTGGAGTGCATGAATACAAGAGAACCAAGAGGTAAGAATAGAGTGGAATGATATCAATGGGTACATTCAGGCATGCATCAATCTCATCCGCAATCGATGCATCGGTGAATATTGTTTAATAAGCTTTTACTGGAATGTCTAGCAATCTAAAAATATGGTGGAAGCAAACATATGTGGATTTATTTTGTCAGAAGAACTTTGAGTTAATACACGTGTAGTAAAAATGCCAATAATGCAGCCGTGGAGACAGATGTATTGCTCTGTCAGAGCTTGCCCAACAAGTGTTACGTGCATCAGTTGTTGCACCGACAAAGTCATTGGTGGATATCGGAACACACTTTAGTACATTGCAGTTTACTGATGATTTGATATACAGTACGTCAGAATGTAACCTAAGATTACAGCTGTTTTTATTATGGAGACTCCATACTATTAAGAAAATTCTAAGGTAAGGATAAAATAAACTATTAAACTGCAATAGCTATTACACAATAACAACCAGCTAAATATTGTTTGCATAAACTTTTCGGCATGTATCTAGTCATCTTCAGACTACATTACTGCAGGCAAGTCATTTCTTAATTTCAAATTCTTTTCTTGTATTCTTTTGAATGCAATTCCCTGAAGTTCTTTCCAAGTTCAAATGCATTCAAAATAATGCAAAATTTGAAACTTAAACATGAGCCACCATGACTTTTAGATGACCAGATTTAAAACTGGAGATATTTGTAAGTATTTAAATATTTAGGCAATTATTAAAACTATTAGTGTTTATCACAAAGTTCACTCTAATTTCAGCACCGAAGTAAAATCCTAACTTCCCTAAACCTGTTACCAGTACACAACGCATGTAAGATATATACAGCGGGTGACGAACGTTTTTGAACTATCTCGCAGTTCTTCCTCAGATCAACTGGTGGCTACCTCCACCAGCTCATGACCGTGCATGTCAAGTAAAACTGACTTCGTCGAATTCCACACGCTCTGCTTGACAGCATTCCTAAGCTAGTTGACCTGAGGAAGAACTGCAAGATAGTTTGAAAATATTTGTCACCTGCTGTATATATCTTATATGCATTGCGTGCCGGTAAAGATTTAGGAAAGTCGGTATTAGTGTTTATTACTGCAATTTGCACCAGTTAAAATTATTACCTATAACCTCAAGAAAGCTAATTCCAAACAGTTGGGGTTTATACATTTATGTGAACTACTCACAGCAGCCACATGTAACACAGTGATAAGTATTTTTGTATCTGAACATATATAAACAATTTTTCAGCTCCTTTATAATCTTAAAAATATTGTATATGTGGTCCAAGCTTTGTTAAACNATTTTGTTTGGGTCCTATTGCATAAAACACTTGTTACAATCTTTACAAGTTACTGGTTGTAAGCAATTTTGATTTTGTAAAGTTACTTATAATCAGTAATAAGCTGCAAATACTTATTACAAGCTATTCTAAGTCTTAGGTTTATAATCTGTACTGTACTGTAATTTCTATGCAACAGCCCTGTACTGTATGAAAATTAATGATGAGAGAAGTGAGTAACTAAGGAGGCGAAAGCGGGCACACGCCCATCTTTAACACCGAACCTTTAACGGAGAGAGACCGGTATGAGGTTCGTCTCGGGTGCCAAAACAGTTCTGGACGAGAGCGCTCCTGCAAAATGACGACGAGAAAAGAGGAGAGAGCTCACCTCGACCGACACGGAGCATCAATTTATGCAAAATACTTACAACGCTATCCCGAAAAAACCTTTAAGTGGTAATAATCCCCACGCGAGGCCGAGTAAAATTCCTATTATCTGTCGTGCCCAATAAATAACGTCCAGAAACTCATCCTGTTAAAAGAAAACATTGTTAATAATCATATTATTTATCATCTTTTCGCAATGCCTGCTTTATTTTTAAGTCTATTGATAAGCAATGTACATCCGACATGATATAAACAAAGTAAAATTTAATTTATTGAGTACATAATAAATTTAAATGATTAATTTTGTTAAACTGGATCATACTTATGAATAATATAATTTACTAGAAAATTACAATGGACTAATAAAACAAGGCAATGCAAGACATGGGCAGTCAGGAGTGAACCCATGACAAACTACTGGTGTTTGGTGGTTTTTATCCACTTGGCCACTGGAGGGCTTTGATAAATCAGAAGTATTAATCACTTTTTACAAACTTTTTAGAATGAATAAAGGAAAGAAGAATGTCTTTTGTGATTTTTGATATTTAACAGTTGCTGCCTAAAGAACAATGGATGAAATAAGCTGATTTACAGTACAGTCGACCCCCATATAACATGGGTTCCTATAGTTCAGATTCCTATATGACGGCGAAAAAATTGCAACGGTATCCATACAAACATGGTAAAAAAAAAACTCCTATAATTCGGTAAAATGTCATCGGGCAGCCGAACTACTTTCTGCTGTCCAGCACCACGCTATGGAGAGTTTAGGCGGGTAAATTGAGTTTACTATTGTCTGTACAGTATGTAAATTAGGTACCGTAAGTCTAATACAGCACTAATTTTATACATTTCTTGTGAAAGAAACATTTCTTATTCAACGGCCATAAAAATTATTTATATTAATGATGTCTCCAAAGTTCAACAAAGTTTTCGCAGAAAAATAACTTATCAGAAATCGCGCCCGCCGTTTGGTGCGCTGCTCCGCGACGAAAACAAGCTTAAGCAATGGCGACGTCGAACGGTGCACACTTGGTAAGTAATCCTACAATTTTTTGTTTATAGCATAGTTTATACGGAATTATTCCCAAAAAATTATACGTATTTTGGAAATGTTGAGTCGAATTAGTCTAGGAATCGATTAATTTTATGGAAGAAAACCTTTCAAACAGCCATAGTCCGTAAACTTCACACGTGTCGGGCTGTGATTGGGAAGGTCTCCTAAAACATCAATTTCATAAAAAACGGAACGTATCTACCCTGTTGTAGGGAGGGTCGACTGTAATACTAGAAGTAATGTATGTATATCTGCATCATTTTCTCTTCTAGTGCTATTCACTTATTTAAAAGAGGACCAGAGATCCCATGTCTAGGTCTAGTAAGAGTAAGGCATGAAAGAAAATAGTTTGACAATTGAATGCCATTCTGGAAGTCAGTATTAAAAATGATAAGACTAAATATAATTGTATTTGAATAAGCATGTTATCTTCTCTCTGTAATCATTGTTCATTTATATGATGATAATGATTAAGAATGGAGAAAGGGGTGATTTGTATCATTGTTACAGATAAAAGATTCCCAACCAATGTGCCATATAGCCATTATATGTGTATTGTGAAGTAAATAAAAAAAATAAAATACATGTTATCAACTGTACTTTGGAAGTATGTTACAGTAAACTATCATAAAAAAGTATTGGGGAGAGCCCTCTGTCGGCCCGTTCACGGATAATATTTAATAACAAAGTGTGCCGCAATGATTGTTTAAGCAAGCTGCAAAAAAAAAATAAATAAATAAAAAAAAAGGAAACCACTGCCTTAGACTAACATCTGCTCCGCAATGTTTTGTTCTCATAGAGCCCATTTGCAACCAATCGACAGAGCACAATCAGAACTATAGTTCTACCACATGATTTTATATGAATTAAACTCTCATATAGCATTTTGTTTGGGTCCTATTGCATAAAACACTTGTTACAATCTTTACAAGTTACTGGTTGTAAGCAATTTTGATTTTGTAAAGTTACTTATAATCAGTAATAAGCTGCAAATACTTATTACAAGCTATTCTAAGTCTTAGGTTTATAATCTGTACTGTAATTTCTATGCAACAGCCCTGTACTGTATGAAAATTAATGAGGCGAAAGCGGGCACACGCCCATCTTTAACACCGAACCTTTAACGGAGAGACACCGGTATGAGGTTCGTCTCGGGTGCCAAAACAGTTCTGGACGAGAACGCTCCTGCAAAATGACGACGAGAAAAGAGGAGAGAGCTCACCTCGACCGACACGGAGCATCGAGAACAGTTTGGGTACAGCTCTGGACAAGAGCGCTCCCGCAAAACGATGAGGAGAAAAGAGGAGAGAGAGCTCACCTCGACCGACACGGAGCATCGAGAACAGGCAGTAGTACGGGTTTGCGGTAAAAACCGAACTGGAAGCAAATATCCCGCAAAGGAGTACTTTTCCATGTAGTTTTTTTGCTCGTACAGATGGGTCTACAACTCCAGAGGTGGGCGGAAAATCATTCAATTAGAGTTCACATCTTACCAAACTGTTTGGCATGGTTTTGGATGAGAGAGAGCTCCTGTAAAATGATGATGATGATGAGATGAGAAACCTCCTGCCAACGACGACGCATTTATCATTGAAATTTCGCAGGAAATCATCCACAAGTTTCCGTCTCCGGATCATTAACCCACATCTCGAATTTCCCAAGCCAAGAATTGCGAAACCGCATCAAAAAAACTGGAAGAACTCGTGCCAAATGTGTTACACCTTCACCAAAAAAGCAGCCAAAGATAATTCTATCGTCTACCGAAGAGTTCAATGTCTCTAATACAGGAAATTCGTCCGTATCCTTTATTATTTTTAATCATTTAACCACTGTCCACTTACCTTATCCGGCCATTTAGAACTAGGGGCGAATGCGCGTAACCAGGCGGATGCCAGACCGTTTTTGGCCACTCCGTTCCTATCTCCGTGCTTCTTTTTCTGGTTCATTCTTAATAAATATGTCCTTTAAATAATTCTACTGCCCGACCAATCTTTTCCTCGTGTACTTTTACATCTGGTTAGACGGAGATTAACTAACTTGTGACGACGGAGCGCCCCCTGCTATCATCGGATTAATTTACTGATTTTAAGAAATAATTTACTTATTTTTTTCTAATTTTATAGTAATTATATTTAATTAAAAATTTTATATTAATTATGATAATTTATATTATATTTATTTAGTTTAATTTATATAATTAAAATGTTATCGTTTCGAATGACGGCCGGAGCGCCTCCTGCTATGACTAGATTAATTAATTTATTTTGAAAAATATTTCATTTT